AGAGAGAGAGAGAGAGAGAGAGAGAGAGAGAGAGAGAGAAGAATCGAATAGAGGGATGCTTTTGGAAGCCCTTGTCAAGAAATTTCAACGGACTCTCATATGAACGTTAGAAAATTGCCCTGTTCTGACTTTTTTTCTAGTTCCCTGTCTAGACTTGTGTGGCCCAAATTCTCTTTGGGTCTCCTGTTTATGATCAGACAAAGCATATAATTTATTTTGTGTGTATTTATTAACTTACAAAGGAATGAGTACCCAGTGCCTAGCCCCTGGTGCCGCCGCCACTCAGAGCCTGCATATCAGACTGTGCCACGCCCATAGACCCCTCTCCATTCGCTCGCACCTCCTGGGCCAGCGATCTTGCCCCAGGTCCACAGGGAGTCAATCCATTCTGTCCTTGCTGGCTTCGAGTTTCCCATCAGGCTCTACCCGCAGCTCCTGGCTTCCATCCCAAGATGGCTTCCAGCTTTTTCAGGCCCTGCTCATTGGAGGAACCAGGCAATCAGGAGACAACTTGTAACACTAATTACTCTTGCCTTTGCTTCTCCTTCACATCTCCTATTCACAATTCAAAGACTTTCTTTTCCTTCTTGAGATAAGAGTTATGCAACTTGGGAGTCTTTTAGATAGACCCACTGAAGGGGTACTCCAGTTGCCTCACCCTGCTCTCTGTTCAGCATGGAAGAAGCAATTTGGGTAACCTCTTCAAAGGATAGTGTGATAATAGGAGGTAGGAATTCACTAGGCAGTTAGGGTAAAAAGACCCCAAAGAAAAGCAGCCAGTTTCTGGACTAAAACTCACAATATCCTTGGGCCTCTTAGCAACCTACTCCATTCCAAAGGCCAAAAATATCAAAAATATTTGGGAGCTTTTATCTAATCCTTAAGAGATTTGGGGGTTACCTCTTCAGAAGGGGGAATGTTGGAATAGCCAAAAGCCCTATAAAGAAATTAAAGAAGAAGAAAGAGTACGTGAAGTTGTTGGAGGGAGAGTTGTGGGGAGATATGGGAGGAGGTGGAGGGGAGGGAGTGGGCGTGGATTTGATCAGAACACCTTATATGCATGTATCAAATGCTCAATTATTTATTTAAAAAGAAAAGAGCCAAGAGGAAAGCCTAGTTTTCATTTTCTTCTCTTCACTGTAGCTGGCCATCCACAATAGCATCTATACAAACTATCACAGCTTTAACTCTGAATTCAGGCTAAATGACATGCGGTGTAGATATATTGTAGTCCTCTACTTGGATACAGGTCTTACATGCGCTGACAGTCCCTGTGGGCCAACACATAAACACACTCATTACAGGAGAAAAATGAACGTCAGGATTGCTTAAAACTCTTCACAAATGAACCAAAGTAAGGGCAGCATAGCCTGCAATTTCCTATCCTATGAATTCCTTTGATAGTAATAAAGTAGTCCAGTAAAGAGTTTGAAAAAAATTAAAAATCTGCAGACACAAGCACATATACACTCATGTGTGCACATACTAAGATGCAGTGCTGGAAGAACTTGGACCCATACAATCCTAATTTAACTCATGGCAGTTTTCTTTTTGTAAATGAAAACTAGATGGACCAGTTTTATATTTCTCTTTTTCTTTTTTAACTGCAATGAATTGACTCAAATTGTATTATGGATTCATTGTCATTATCCACACTCGGTTTTAATTTTGAATAGCACCTTGCAACTTCTGAAACATCTTCAGAACTATGAGATCTTGCACAGAACTCTATAAAACGGTTTTGAAAACAAATTTGACAAATAAGGAAGTCAATTATGATGGATTTTCAGAGGTGGTAGATCTTCAGTGGGGTAGGAATAATATGAAAGAAAGATAATAAGCTAAAATCAATAGCATCTATAGAGTATCTAAAAATCATAGATGACAACAATCTCAGGACAATCAGGTGATGTGAAGGAGACATGTCCAGACTTGGCTGAGTTGGGTGCAGACTCATGAATGCACTGGTGAAATGGGGTGGGAAAGGCTGGTCTTCACCTTGGTGCATCTAGGTAGTAACGGAAAAGGCACTCTCTGCTCAACACAGGGCAAATAGCCAGCAGTTCAAACAATTTAGGAGTAGTTAATATTTGTAGCTGTTCTGGCGGAGGTGCCAGAGTTAAATGAGTACCTTCCAAACAGGGAATTGATTAGAAGTAGGTTATACAAGCTCCATTTTAGGAAAGAAAGCACGTATGTCTCACATGCCTTGGAGTTGTTCATTCGGATCACTTCGTAAAATCAAAGTATTTTATTTAAATGACTTTCAGAAAATGTGCACACCACATATTTATTAGCATTTCATGGATATCTAGAACACTCGCAGATGCTGTCTTCCTTGACTCATCAATCCTGTGAGGCAGGCTGTTGGTTTATGCACCCTCCAGATGAACAGTGCAGCCTTCAGAGACTGGCTGAGTCGCCCCAGATCATTCAGCTTCCCCCTGGGTTCTAAACCGCAGTCACGTCCTCTTTCTACTGGACTATTTCAGGAAAACATGAAGGGCACTTTCTTGGCTCACTGCCTCTGTAGCAGCCTTCTTGGCAAAAGAAGTTTCAGTGAAGGGTTCCTGCCTGGTATAAAGAGTTAAACATTTAGACCAGAGCCTTTCTTTGTAAGATACTGACGGGATGATCGCAGTGCTGAGAGGGAATCCAGGACTTTGCACATAGTAGGTGAGTTCTCTGTCACTGAGTGACATCCCTAACCTCCATAGGGCATATGTTAATCTGTTTGGTTGCTTTCCTGATAAGCATCAAGGCAATAGGCTTTATGATAGAAAAGTTGATGTATATAGGGGTTTGGAATCTCTATGTTTTCTAAGTGGATTGTGATAGCAATGCAATATTGACTTAGTAAGACCGACAGAGGTTATTAAATCCTTGGCATTTTCGGGGGAAGATGAATTGTGTTGGCAACAACATATTTGGATTTTCTTTTTATTTGACTTTTCTAGAATAATTAATCCCATTTTTCATTTAATTTCAGAAAATTTTCTGTTGCCTGTAGTTTCACATTTTATATTTTCTGAAGCAGAAATGTTATAGGAAGATTCACTGTTGCCTTGAATTTGAGTGTTGCAGTTTCGATTTCACTTTTATAAGTTACTCAAATTTTTAAAGGCTGTTTAAAAGCCATTCTGTCCACTGCTGTGTCAATACGACTTCCTTTCTGTTTATGCTTTAATTACTTCATGTGAGATGCGTTTTGCTTCATTTGCTTATACCCATATCTGTGTTTGGGGTCTGTGTGTGTGTGCATGTGTGTCACTCGTGTATGTGTGTGTGTGTGTGTGTGTGTGTGCGTACTTTTTAACTTTTTTTCATGACCAGTGGCTATTGCTATTTTGCTTTCAAAACTCACTAATATTAATTACGGTCATAGAAGTCCCAATATTTGTTTAAATTTTCGTCTGTGTGGCACGTCCTATACCTTGTGTAACCTGCTTAGTAACTAGGGTTGCTTTCTTCTTCCATCTCTCCAGAGCTGTTTTCTGTCAGAGTTCACTTTGCCTTGGAGAATCAAGACTGACAGACAAACCCTTAGCAGGAAACAGAACAGTCATCCTGTAGTTCTTTAAAATGACACCTGGATTGTATTATTGGCATGTACAAAAACACCTGGCTGTGATGACGTGAGCAAGCTGGGCATATTGACATCTTGAATGACACTCCTAGACAAACCTGGGTCTTATTTACTAAGCCCCAGAAAGTGGTATTCTCGGGTCGAATCTGGAAATAAAAACCCAATAGTTCTGTTAATTTTTATTTTCTTAATTCTCAGGCTGATATTTAAAAACACTGACAAGGCTTTGATGTAGTGTAGTGCTAGAGCACTTGGTTAGCATGAAGTGGGGCCCTGAGGTTGATCCCCAACACTACAAAAATGACAATAAAGAAGTTTTTTAAATGAATGACAAAATTGACCACTCTAAATCACACATTGCTTCTTACAGAAACCTGGTACTCTGAGAACCAACTTGGACAAGGGGCTTCACCAGCTAAAGTTCATAATACATTATGATCGAAGAACAAAGAGCATAGTGGTAGTAAGTCCATAGAGTTTTCAGAGAACGTGATTTAAATTTCTAGGTGAATGGAGATTAGAGAATCCTGAAGAACCCAGTAAAAGGAAGACAGTGAGTTAGGGAGAAAGCCCAGTCTTCTAATTCCAAGTCCCTGTCATTCTGCTATGGGACTTGAACTTGTTGAGGTTAGTCTAGTTATAAGGAAGTTTTAGTCTCTTCAGTGTCCTTGAATCAGTGTTGAATTTGGAAGGTGCACTGGTATGGAGTAGAAGGAAGTAATTATTAATTTTGTATAGCTCCTGAGTAGTTTGAAATTATTTGACAACCATGTGACTTAATATGCTTTCTCCCTCTTTTAGAAGCATCTCAATCGACTGATTATGATTATGATTAAAATTGAAAAGTAAATATTTCCATAAGTAAAGTCTAAACACTTGCAGAATGTACATTGAATTTTAGCTACACAATAATAGAGTCAAATGTCTTAACTGAGGCCTCATGGGAAGCATATTTGACTACTTTTTGACCCACAGACCCCTTAATATGTTCATCTGTCCTTTCAGTACACCTGTAATTTAAGCCACTCCAGGTAACATCATGGAAGCAATTGTCCTGACTTCTAGATTTAATTCATCTGAGGTTTTATTCCAAGAAAGCACTTATTTTTGTGGTCTAAATTCACAATCTAAACAGTTCATGTTGTGTCAGAAAATTTCAAAACTTACAACCTAGAGGCTTTCAAAACTGGAGCAAAAAGATCACCAACTTCTGTTATAAAATGAGATATCTCAATACAATAATACCTGGCACTCTGATCTTTCTACTAATAGGTTCTTTCTATATCTGAGTTTCTGTATTCTCATTGAATTTATTTCTAAGCTATTCAAGAAAAATTAATAGTAGTCAGAATATAGAATCACTAACAGAGTTAATGGAACTGAGAAGGATTCTAGTCTAAAAAAATTCTCTACACTCAGGAAATTGCATTTAAACCAAAGGGAGATATTTGTGAACAGACAGAAGATAGATTTTCTTTTGTGACTTGAATCTCTCTCAGTCTGGTATGCAGGCCCTGGCCCGACTGCGAGCTCCACCTTCAGGAAGCAGGTTTAATTAGACACTGACTGTGTGGGAACAACCATGCCATTCCAGTTTAATCAGTTATTTAGTGTGTCACGCTCATAGGCCAGTGGGATCCGCAAACCTACTCTCCAATTGTCAGGAAGACATTCATATTCATAAACAACATGTTCCAGGAAGCTCAGTCTACCTGCCATCTATAAAGTAGCACTCAGGACTTTGGAAGCTGGTGACTCAGTAATGTTCGTCTTGTTTTTTTTTTTTTTTTTTTTTTTTTAATTGCTTCTTCGGAGGACCATTGTACAAGAAAATTTAAAACCTAGAAAAGAGACAATTCTGCCCAATACTGCACTGATGAAAACTGCATATTGATTTCTAGTGCCTCATGATTGACCCAGGAATCTTCCCTATTTTGCCTTAATGGAAACTCTCTGATTTGATATTTTGAAGGGTAAATTGTGAGTGATGGTTGAAAATAGCATTCTTTTATTAACAATTATCTATTTTTTAATTATTTTGTGGTTTTCATACAATATAATTTGATGGTATTTAGATTCCCTCCCCTATCCACACCTCCACTTAAATTACCCCCTTCTAACTTAATGTTGTCTGTTATATATAAAAGGCCTATAGAATCTAATTAATGTCCCCAAATGTCCTTCAATATGAATTCATTGACTGGAGCCTGGTTAACCTACCAAGAGTCCCATCATTGAAAGAGCTTGTCTCTGCCTTTCCCAGATTTTAAGAGCCAGAAGTGTTAGATGGATCATAAGGAAACAGAGTTTTCCAGGCAGCTGGTCAGTTACTCATATGAACACCTAGCAATGGTGACAGCATGCACAAATCCCAGGCAAGCTCAACCCATACAAAATACCAGCATAGGCCTTTATGTTTTAAAGAAAACAGAGGTTTGGTGATGGACTGCTTGGGTTTTATTCCTGGCTTTGCAACTTAATTGTGGTATGGTCTTGTTCAAGTTCCTTAACATCTGTTCCTCAATTTCACTCCTATAATGGAGACAACAATGTTGTTTAGGGAAGGGGTTAACAAGGACTATGTGGATGGATATGTGTTATAATCCTTAGATAGTATGCATCACATGGAAAATGCTATACATATACCTTTTGCTATAATTAGTCCAGGAGCCCAACCCTTTCAGAGAATATATATATATATATATATATATATATGAACATATCACCAGATGTGTTGCTACATGTCTATAATCCTAAGGAAGGAAAGAATTCGGAAAAAAATAAACAAAAGCTAAGGAAGGAAAGGAAGAACAAAGGAAAGGAGGAGGGAGGGAGAAAAAGAGGAAAGATAGAGGGGAGGGAGGGAGGGAGGGAAGGAGGGAAAGAGGTAAGAAAGGGAGCAGGTTAACATATGTCTATGAGACCATATTGCTGTGTGTAATGGTCATAAAGGGCATAAACTGAAAGTCCTCTGTGCCTTTCATCCAGAACATACACTGGGAGGTTATTCTGGGCATGAAAAAGACCATGATTTTAGTTTGTATCTACGATCAACTTGTTATGACTTTGCCAAGTTTCTGTACCCTTCTGCACTAATGATTTGAATTACAGAATAAAGGGAATTTTCTGGCTTTATCAAGCTTGTACTACCCTATAATCACTTGGCCTTTGAGAAATAAACAAAAAGGCTGAGTAATTTCAGCCCCTGAATGAGTGAGCACATTGGAAACAATTTCTTTCTTTGAAAATTTGAGCTAAGTTCAGTTATGGATCCTGACTATGGGTTCAGAATTGGAACAAAACTGATCGGAATGTGTCTTTCATGGAGTCTGACTTCTGGAGAAGAGAATCCATAAATCAATACTAGACTAACAAATAACAGGACTCCAGGTAGAGGTAGGACTATGAAGACACTCACAGGGCAAAAGATACGGGGAAAGAGCAGAGTGGCTTAAGTTTGAGTATTAGGAAATCTCTCTTCCGCAAACCCTTTAACTTAGACACTCAAGGGCGCAAAGAAGGCAAAGATGTGAAGATTTGGAAGAAGGACAGTCTAAGGACTGAACCAAGTTCCATCCTTAAGGTAGGAACTAGTTTGAGGATTTGAGAACAGTAAGAAGACAGAGCGAGGAGCAAGAGTGAGGGATGAAAAGAGTTGGGCCTCCAGATGCAGAGGGGCCTCCAGGAACATCCCAGTTCTGACAAGGACTTAAGGTTTCATTGTAACTGTGACAGGAGCTACTGAGTAGTACTAAGCAAGGCGTGCAGTGACCTTTCTTGATTTGTGATTGATAGTGTGCAATGTGAAATGAGACATCACAATTTTCTAAATATACAGCGGAACTGGTTACTTTGTTAATTCCAAGGTTCTAAATCCTTGTCTCAATTTAGCTTTTAGCTAAGAGATCATTTGTTCCCATAATATAACTTGTAATTGTTTCTTTTTATTACTAGAAGAATAATAATCACTTTAAAAAAATCACTCTAAGTTTGGTGGTCTGACAAAAACTGAGGTTTAGCACCATGAGAATTATCTGGCTGCTTTAAGATCATTTATATTTTACCTTTCTTATTTAGTGCTTAAAAATGTTTTTATTCATGTAGAAATGGAGAGAAAAAAGGCAGGAAAAAGCACATTGTGGATGTCTGTAGCAGCACATCTTTAAAACAAACTTGGGTGGCAAACTCCCAGGCTGATGCCTCTATCATCCTAAGAAAGTTAAAAATGGGAATAAGAGTAACAGTAAAGCCCAGTTCATAGTTACTGCAAATGCTAAATGAAATAATGTCCATGGAAAGTGCTCACAACAGCAATTGGTTCCTAATAAGCGCTCAGTTGATGGAGCCACCACTGTCTTTTGGTTCTCCATCATCTAACGCGCCTCTGTTCTCAAGTTGTGAGATTGCTGTCATGTGTTTGCAGATGGTGCCGTGTTTGTAGATGTCTGGACATTCACCATTACAGAAACTGAAGGCACTGTAGTGTTTTGGTTTTGGTTATTTGCTTTCTTAGCTCTCTGGCAGCTAAGAACATGTGACCTGCTTAGTCTAGACTGCTCAGACTAAATAGAGTACAAAGTGGACACTGCAAGGATTTTATTCACGGCCAGGCTAATGTGCCAGGTAAGATGTTTTGTGATTGCCTTTACCACCAACACCACTATTGCTCAAGGTGTTTGATTGACAAAAGTTCAGTGTCATGCACCTCCACTGATACTGTGAGCCCCCAACCTCCCCCCAATTCATTCCCCTGAGATCTGATGGACACTGTGAGTTTTATTTAGCTACAAGCAAATCCCTAGTGAATATAGCCCAGACTTTCTTTTTTGGTCCTTTCAGTGTCATAGTCTCCACTCGACTGCATCCACTAAGAAAGATGAATGGATAAGGAGCCAAAGGTAGCAGGGAACTGCACAGGCTTGCTTAGTTTATAACCAAGAATACTGTTCTTTTGCTGAAGACACTCACAGGACACCTTCCTCTCCCAAGAAGCAGGGATACAGATCTTTCCACGCTGCATATTTCACTGCACACAACCAGGACATCAAGGGCAGCAGCATAGCCACCCTTCATTTTGTGACAGGGTCAGTTGAGTGTGCACTGTTTCTACTCTGGATCTTTAGTACCTGTAAAGTAGGTATTGCATTTGAGTCATGTGTAAGTTAATATTTGACATAGTCAGTGTGTCCATGAGCTCCTTTAAGAACTGAGATATCTTAGACAGTAGTTAAAGCTTATTTTGACAGTTGTTTTTAATCCTGGTCCCTTTAACTTCCTAAAGTTAACCAGACTCTGTATTGGTGAAGGAATATCACCTATGACTGCTAGACTATCACTAAACAACCCATTCTGATATGAGCAGTGTTCTGACACGCATAGTGGGAGGAGCTACTTGGGACTGTGTCCTTCCAGTGTTGTTTACTTGGCATCTCATGACTATGGAGCAAATATTAGCACTATGTGCATTGTATATTTGCATAAAGTGTCATGTTAGACACAGCATTTTATACAGTTCATTTTTTGCTGTCATCATGCCTTATGGTCTTTGCAATTAAAAATCTACCTTTTACAAGTGATGGATGATTTTCCACTGCATGGGCCATTCCTGGTTTGTTTTTGCTCATCTTTTATTAAGGGATGTCCTAGTTGTTTATGAATTGCCACTGCTATAGAAACCATACGTTAGTGAACATTTTTCCTATGTGTCGCCTTAAGTTCAAGTGTACTTTCTAAGTGGATAAAACAAAAATCCCTGACTTTCTTCTTTGTTTTCTGTCCCCCTAACTTTGTGCAGCACAGTAATCTGGCTAGAAATCAGCCTTCAGGAGGATTTGAATAGTTCTAGCTCCCTGTACCTCTTCTATCTTCTGTTCCTCAAATGAAAATCCAATCCACACACCAAGTGAACTGAGAGCTATGGAGATGCCAGAGTGCAGCTCCTAAGTTCTCAGTTCTAGAAAAGTCAGGGAGACACATCCAAATTTAGCCATCATTCTTAAAGGTCTAAGAAATACAGAGAAAACAGGACTTAAAATAACCCTCAGTAGATACAACTTCCATAACAGTAATTAGAGCCCTATCTTTTTACAACAATCAAACTTATCAGTGTTTCTTTTCCTGCAGTACGAATACTTTCCATTGAGTGAGTACTACATGACACTTACGTAAGGCCTGTTTGTTCCAGGCCTTCCCAAGACTTCATTCACTCACAACAGAGGAAAGCACAAGAGCAAATGCTGCCTGATGAATTATTTCTCACTGGAAAGATGGTTAATTTCATTGACCCCCATGTGTCACAATTCAATGCATCACCCTGGATGAGGAAGCAGACCTGCAGAGAGAAAACCACAGAAAAGACAAATCCATGTAAAGCTCTGTGATCCAAGGCTAAGGTCATCTTTAATGGAATAAAAAGGCACTCTGGGGCTTTAGCTATTAGACCACAATCACATGCCACTGCACCCTCAAATGTAATTAGAGGACAAGAATACACATCCTGGGATGTTGTCTTTAAGTGGCACTGAAAGCTCAGTAAGGGGTGAAAAAAAGACTGTCAAGTGCTAAGATTAAAAACAGCAGACCCAAAGTGCGACAGTGATGAAGGAAAGTACCCATTTCAGTTTGTCCATCACATTTCTAATTTTGCGTTGTCTCTACCTCAACTAATTACCAGACATAAATCATTCTTCCCCCAAATAATATTGACATCAACAAGCTTATTACTGTCGGGGTTCAGACAGTTAGCAATCATGAGGTCATTTCCTGTTGGAGTTTGAACTCCTTGTTAGTGACCAGTAAGCATGCTTTGCTTGAGAGAACCTACAGGAGAGGACCTGTGAACTGGGACCTTACTGAGGTTGCACGTTTTCTAAGATAAGTAAGAGCAGTCTGTGTGAAATGTCTACTACTCCTCTACCCCTGTCCACAGTGGGTGCTACTAACCTCATTCTTCAATCCACACCTTCTCTCCAAATGACTTGAGTTAATTTTTTTCTTTGCATTCCAAAGTACCTAACTTGAAAAGTAGTGAAATGCCAGAGTTATAATTACTAAGAAGATCCTCTTTATTTGTTCTGAATCTGTACATTAGTGTGGAGTCCTGTGTTTATCTTTCATTTCAATTATATCTATCCATGTTTCCCAAGCCAATGTAATTGAGGTTAAAAGGTAGGAGAGTGCCCACTGAAAGACACTCAATGTGTGAGCATGGCATGTGGCCACTGTCTATTGAGCAAGCTTACTTCTGGCATTTTTGTTTGTCTGAAAAGCTCTTACTAAGCCAAACTGTGGAGTTCTCAAAATATGCCTCCAGATGTGTACCTGCTGGAAATCCCACCAAGCCCCAGTGGATAGCTTCAACCTTGTGGTCACACAGATGGCCCTAGTTAAACTAAACTGGTACCAAAACAAACCCCAAAGGAATGAATCTGAGAAAGGGACTGGTCAGGAGGAGGAGGGAGGTTATGATAAGGATAAGAGGGAGATAAGAGAGAACTGGAGGAGAGAGTAATCAGAATGCATTCTATACGTGCATGGAATTAATTCTAAAAAGTCACCTACTCTGTGCATGCTGTCACAAGCACTGTGGATTCATACATACAGCTACCGTGCAGCGTCCAAACAATACAGTTTCCTTGTATTCATCTACCACCACATCTGGCTCTTACAAGATCAAGCCAGATGAAACCCATCACAAATGGAGAAGGTGGGCAAGAACCAACAGCTCTAGCTGAGGACCTACTGCCAATTGACAGTTGCTAGGAGAGGGAATGTGCATTTTCTTTAGGAGTGTGATACCTGGGAGTTTGACCAGACACCAAGGGATAGACCCATACCCAAGAAAGAGCGTTTAGGGAACACACATTAAACTCTATAGGCCTTTAAGAAAAGAAAAATAATAATAGAGGACATGACATGGGGGGTGGTAGTGTGAGGGTGCCGATGAGGAAGAGGTCTGAATGTGATGAGACCACATTGTCTGAAATCCTCAAAGGATCAATAAAAAATCACCTACATTTCTTCTTCATAGGAATGAGGATCATGATGAGGCCAGAAGACTAGGTTTAATGAAGCATTTCAGGCAAACATCATTTGGAATCTTTCTAAGTTATAATTATTTTTGAAAAGTAAGAAAAGGCAGAAAAGGGCATATTAAGGCTAAAGGAAACAAGAAAAATGAGGATGTGAAAGATCACAAACAAGAGGAAAAGTATGGGAATGGATGTGAGCAGAATGTGCCCCGTTTCAGGGAAAATAAGGAAATGGGTGGGAAAGAGGGAAAATTTCACTAAATTAGAGAATTTATGTTTTGGAAGCTTTTATTTCCACATGTTAACACTAATAAGATACAATTCAATTAGTGATTTTGTTTTAGTTAATAATGTAAAAATAAGCAAATAGAAGTAATCAAAAAAATGACAAGGAAATCTACAAAATAGGGGAGAATATTTGCAAACCACATACGTGGAAAAGTGTGCCATCCAAAATGCGTAAGGATTCCTACAATTTCTCAGCAAAAATGACAGCAATAAGGATTATTTTTAAGAGTCATTTTGGAATTAGTCAAAGAAGTAAAGGTTTCTCAATACTTCAAAAACCCCTAGTGTGTTTGGATAAGGATTAAAGTTTCCATGCTGTGATTCCCCCGTATCTGTAGTAAATAGTCACTCACATCTTGCTGTTTTGATGAATTCAAAGGAGAAACAGCTATGATCTAAAAACTTTAATTTTGCTCAAAAGGAAAAAGCACCATTCTGTATTTTTTTCTTTCAGAGGGTTTTTCAGCAGATATGGTATAAATACATACACGTAGTATGTATCCTATAAGCACAGGACTGACTGCCCAGTTTAGTCAGCGTACTCTAACAAGTGAGTGACAGAGTCATAACTCCATTTTATTTGTGCTACAAAGACTGAGCAGTCTATAATTCAGCTGCCTTTCACATCGAGGCCTGGGTTCTTCTTAAAGAAAATAATAGAGGATAAACATCAAAGTCTGACTCTTCCATTTGTCCTCCTGAAAGTCTTGATTTGTTTTCTGACTGCTTTCTGTCAATCAGCACAAACAACAGATCCAGAGGACTGTGCCCTTGCCTGCTCTGCTAACTTTACCAAATGCCATTTGGGTGTGGCATTATGGAGTTCATCCAGGCCTGGAGAGAAATAAAAATAATCTATCCTATGGATTTTACTAATGTCAGCTATGGAGCTAAAGAATGGACAACTGATTCTTGGTCAGATGTCATGATTTCAGTCATCTGTGGGATGCTCAAAGCAGGTTAGCTTTTCCATTTCTACCTCATTAACAAGCTGAGTTTATTGTTCATTCATTCAAGGCATTTGCCTAACTCTGCTGAATAATTAGTTATTAATGTCTGTGTGCAGCAGAATTTCTCTAGTATTATTTATACAATGACAGTGGATTGGGGGAAGAAGCTAAAAAATACCTGTGCTGGGTATTTTCGAGTTCAAAGTCTCTACTCCCCCACCCAGCTCTCTCTTCCTGAGCTGGCTGGTGTCTCTGCTCTTCGACTTCCCAAGGGAACGTACAAGGGAATACATATAACAGTGTTTGGACAATGAGAATCAGCAGTGAGAGACTGCAAGGCAGGAGCAGAAAGAATCAGGGTGTTTGTCACTGTCTCTCTTTCCTGTCAGGTAGGGATGGCAATGGCTATGTTCCTTACCTACAACTTTAGCCTCTCCTGAGATCCTCTCTGACAGTTCTTGCTCTGTGCAGATTCTGGAAGCCACTCAATCCTTCACCCTTCAGGCTGGAGTGATAACAGCTCCCAAGTATTTGATTCTCTTTTACCAATGTTCCTTGTCATGCTCAAGCATTTGGAAGTCAGCTTTCTGTTGACCTCAGCTGGGTAGGTCACCTGTTTCCCATTAGGACCCTAACTGATACAATTTAAGAATGGCTATATTTAAATATCACATGATAGGATATTATATAATCACTAAACATAATTTTCACAAGACTTAAATCATGAGAAATGCTCAGGATGATGAAAAAAGATAAATAACAAAAATATGACCTCCTTGGAAATCAAAGTATGTGGTGTATGTACATGCATGTGTGTGCATGCATGTGTCTATGTGAGCAAAACTTTTTAAAAGACTGAAAATGAAAAAAAAAGCCAGGCACAGTAGCAGATACCTTTAATCCTAGCAGAGGCAGGTGAATCTCTATGAGATCAAGTCTAGCCTGGTCTACATGGTGAGTTTCAAGCCAGCTGGGTCTACAGGAAGACCCTGTCTCGAAAAGAAGAAAAGAAAGGAAAGGAAAAGAGAGGAGAGGAGAGGAAGGAGATGAGAGGAAGGAGAGGAGAGGAGAGGAGAGGAAGGAGAGGAGAGGAGACTACAGGAAGACCCTGTCTCGAAAAGAAGAAAAGAAAGGAAAGGAAAAGAGAGGAGAGGAGAGGAAGGAGATGAGAGGAAGGAGAGGAGAGGAGAGGAGAGGAAGGAGAGGAGAGGAGACTACAGGAAGACCCTGTCTCGAAAAGAAGAAAAGAAAGGAAAGGAA